AACCTGTATTACATAGAAAATATTTCCCACCTTCCATTCATGTTGGCCTTCATAGCACGCGTGGCCCCTTAATATAACAATTTGAGCTTTTAATCCATTGTTGCTTCTTTTAAAATTCCTTTTTACAAAATGACTTAGGGACATTTAATGGGGATGTTGCATGTTTAACTGCACCTCCTTTGTACACTAGTTTCACCATCATTAAACTGGTAATTGTTTAATAACTAGAAACTGTAACACCATTCACAGATGCCTAAAAAGTAATTTCACTTTTTTTCCTCCCACAAGCATGGCATGTCTTTCAGGGTCCTCTAAATTCAGTATTAAATGATGTCACTTGTCATGAAAGCAAGCTCCATCCAAACATAGCCTGTGCTAACTGGCTCAACCATCTTATATTTTGAAGACCGATGTCTTTCGTGAATATTTAAGTTTTCTTTAGCGTGAAGCTCTGAGCACCCATTGCCACTACCCCAGTGGGAACTAAGCTTAATTAACAAGATCCTCTTTCCTAGGAACATAACCACAAGCAGCTATGTATCCCATCATCTTTTTTTGTTGTTGTTGTTCCATGTAGAATAGTGGGTTCCCATGGCCCCAGCTTATCTAGGTACACAAAATGGAGATTTACATATTCCATGGCATGTGTGCACATTGCTATGAATTCTCCTGTTATCTATATGTTACCCACTTGTTATGGTTACCTACCTGTATATATACTGATGCCAGATGGCATGTTCCTTATGCCCCATGTTTTCTTCTATGAAAAGTAAGTGCTTCTATGAAAAGTACTGTGGTGTTCAGCTCACTGCCATCGCCTCCAGCCACTCACTGCATTGCTCCCGTTGCACAGCTTAGCCTCAGATATTTAACTGTAGAGATAAACATCATGCAATGTTCTTTATCTCCTTCACTTTTGCCTTTACTGGCTTTTATATTCTGACTGCAAAGAGTCCTGCTATCTATGAATTCTTGAGCTGAACTGAATACTTTTGCCTCTAAACTGTAAGAACCTCCTCAATTAGGTAGAAAATAATGATTAGAAATTTTCCCCACTTCTGAGGGCCATTTCTATTCAATCTTTAAAAAAATACTTTCAATTCTAATTTTAAGGCTATGCATTATTACCATAGAGTTAGATTTTGCTAGTTTTCATTTATATAATATTCCCTAAAAGTAAATTTGATCGTATGAGCTTCTGAATAATCTAATATCATTAACTACAAGCATAAAGGGACTTCTCTTCTTTTGTGGATAAGCTGAGGAGAGCAGAGTAATCTTCCTGTCTGAAGAATACACAATGGTCAGCCATGCATTCTACATGCTTTAGTATCTCCCCCTTTCCCATCAGCTCCTTCAAGTTTTTATCACCATGTTTTTAAGGGAGAGATTATCACAGAACAGTCTACTTTCAATGTCCCAGTCATATGACTTTCAAAGCCATTGCCTCATCCACTGGACCAGTGCATGGCAGTTAGCAGTATTAGCATCTATAAGCTTTAGTTTGGTTAAAAGTTCCTTCAGCACATATGCATGTTTATTTCCTCCCCTCCCTACAAGGAAAAAAAAACCCAACAGGCAGAGTCCCCTCCCTCTTATTTAGTGAGCTTGAATTGTGAAGTGTGACTTTTGTTCTACTGTGTTCAGACTGACCTAAGCATTAACCCCTCTCCCTCTCCTTGTTTGCCTTTGCTGAACACAAGGATGCTCTCTCTGGCTTTGAGTGGCAAGTCAGACCCTCCTTGACAGAAGTCTGCTAGTAGGGGTTGGCAGTTTGAAAAGTAATACGAGGAGGGTTAGTATAAAACTGAGATAACAGTTCATATTTTGAGATGCTCATTATTAATTCCAGTATGAAATGATTTGCACTTGTTATTAACACATTAAGACAGCCAAGGAAAAATTAGAAGGTGACTCAACAGGAGACATTCAAATGTGGAAGGTACAAAAAAATAACCACAGAGGGAAACTTTTTCCTAATCATCTGAGTCCACGTTTAAGTAAGATTCATCCATTTTAAAGGTTGATTAGTTGGTTTTTTTTGGGGGGTATATATTTATTAATTAAATTTGTTTTCAACTGATACATAAAAATGTGAAAGGCATACTTAATAATGGAGTATCATACATGAATTGTTTTAATGTTCTAAATAGTCGATATAGTCGAATAAACTGAACTGTCATCTCTTGAGAAATGTGTTACAGTGTTATGGCATATCGAAGGCGTAAAGCTGAGCACATATTTCAAGAGCATCTTAAGTAATTTAGCATTTTATCATAAAGCAGTAGATAAACTGCAATGAGGCAGAGGTTCATATCCTTGACTTTGAAGAGAAGCTATTTTCTACAGCTTGAGAAAAAGACATTTATAATCTAAGAAAAAGCATATGTCACACATTCTGACCTGTGTGTGTGTGTGTGTGTGTGTGTGTGTGTGTGTGTATTTCTGTATATCTGCATGAGTTTATCTGTATGTTTGTATCTGTGTATGTGTATATGTATGTACATGTGTATGGTACCAATATGTGTGACTATATGTGTGTATCTATACATGTGCATATATGTATATGTATGTATGCATGTATGTATGTATGTATGTGAAGTGTGTATCTCTTCATGTTATATATCATGTGTGTATGTATTTGCATATGTATCTGTGTGCACATGTGTATGTACATATGCATGTATGTATATGACTCAGCTGAAAAGTCATAATAACTAAAAATTAAAATTTTTTGAGATTGTTGGTCACTATTTCTTTTCTCTGCTACACCATCACCTTGCTTTTGACTGTGAGGAAATAGCATGGTGAACCAGAACTCCCTGTTTTCTGTTCATTTTTTTCCATTTGAGATTGTTAAATTGTAGCACATTCACTTTATTAAATACTAGAAAGTAATTGAGAGTTTCAAGATGTCTCCCTTCCTGTTCTCCCAGTTTCTTCAGGACTTCAATTATCATGAGCTGTTTCTGAGAACAGTGCCTGTAGACCAACTCTTCTCTTAGTGCTGCTCATCATTCCGGGGGTTACCTGAAAGAAGTTTACCTAAGATCAACTGAAAAATGAGAAAGTTGATATGAGCCTGAGTTTTAAGGAAATATTTCCTTCTAGTCTAGTTTATTTTTTAAGATTCATTGAAGAAGAAATTGCCAGCTGTATAGCTGAACCATTGTTTATAACACTGTGGAGATGGAGGAAGTAAAGTATAATGTGGAGATGTTTCTATTAAGTAAGGAGAAAGAGGGGAAGTAGGAGGGGTTGCTAGTACATTTGGTCACAGCGTTTCTATCTTGAACATCAGCACATCGACATACTGTGGAAAGTTTTGTCTTCAAGAAAGTAGGAGAAAAAGGTTAAAAAGTATTAGTGACTCTGTGTAGTGTAAAGAAAAAATGTTGTAGCACATATGAAATCTATTTAATAAATAATTTAAGGAAGCACTGAAAATGTTCCTTCACGTTGAAACAGAGATTGCAGTTTGTAGGATTATTTTCAGAACATTGATAAATAAGAAACTGCATTCAACTCCTTCTCACTCTTTCCTCCAAAGTATGCAAATAAAAAGCTTTTTTTTCCCATGAGAGAGACTGTTAAACCATAGGCAGGTTTTTTTCTTTACATTTTGTTGAAATAATTATTTAAAACGGCCGCTGGTCAAGCCGACTATCTAAGCTGTGGGGGCTCACCTAGCTCAGCCGCCAAGTTCCATGGCCAGAGACAATGTGCTTGCCGCAGCTAGAAATTGCCAGCCAGAAACACCAGCCCTGGCACACATGAGACCCAGCGTGGGAGATGGTTCCACCAATCTCCCATGCTGTCTCTGAAAGGCTAAGCATTGCCCAGACCATCCAGCCATCATTTTGGGCCCGGTAGGAAAATGAGACTCTAATGCTTAAATATTAATCAAAGGCTTTATATATTTAGTAACGCTCAATAACAATATGCCCATACAATTAGTTATTTCCCAATTAGCTTACCTAAATATAAGTTGTTACCCATGTCTTCTGTCCATACCTGTGTGGTTCTCCATCCTCCTACATCTCTGTCCTCCCCAGTGCCTCCTCTTCCTTTGCCTCTTCCTCTTCTTACTCCTCCTACCTTAGCTCCTCCTACAACATTTCTTTCTCCATTTCAGCCAATTTTGTATGAAGCAAATGATTCTAGGCCTAATTGCAGTGAGCGTGTGTGGTTGGTTTGCTAGATCTGTTGAGGTTGAATTGCATTTGAACTTTCTAATAGTATGGGGTTTTTTTCAGAATCTAATAACTGACCAAGATATTTAATAATGGGAGCTTTTATTAAATTAAAAAGAAATCAGGATATATTTTTAGAAGAACTAACTTATTTTCTTTATCAGTTTTGTCTGCTTTGAGGGAAAGGGACAGAATGGAAGCGATCCCTTGAATACTTATATAGACATTAATGCCATAAGCTCAGAGCATAATCTCATTCAGCGTGGATCCTTGTTCAGAAGGTTTGGGAAGCGTCACATGGCAGTAATAACTATGCTTCTTGGTCTACAGAATAACAAATTACATTCAATGTTTTTGAGCTTCTTCATTAGTCTTATACATAATTCGTCTTTAGGTTTCCACATGATTCTTAGAACAGTTCTTAGATTGCCCACTGCCCAATCTCCCATCACCTAGCATATCTGTTAAATGCAATGTCTGGTTTTCAAATGCAGGTAGGAAAAGATGAGGGTTGAAAGACTGTATGTGTATGTGTATGTGTATGTGTATGTGTATGTGTATGTGTAT